CAATTCTATACTCCACTACAGCAGCATTTCCAGCGAGATCCTTCACACGAGTGCTTTATTGGCGATGGCGAACGCTTATCAGCCTGTTAGCGCGGTTAATTAGTGAACTAGTTCATAGAAGATCCGAAAATGGATTTTTCAAAATAGAATTGTTGTTGGAGGATTAATGGACTGCTACAATTACACGAAATGATGAAAATAGAAAGAGGGAAAATGTTTTGTCGGGGTTCCATTTGGAGCCCTCGAGCTGTCAGGCTCGATCTCCTACTCTTCCCCTCCTTCCTCGTACTTTATGCAGTGCAATCATTGAAAGGGTCCGCAAGAGAAAATTTTGCTCCCTCGGACAAATGCATGTTTGCAGTGTGGCAGTTGATAATTTCCAAAGCATCATAACACATTAGGTGTGGTAACGCAGAAGTGAAGTCCAAGTAAATGAGCTTGCAACTGCCTTTTCATAGAGGATAAGGAGTAGAAAGGAAATGTCTGAGGTCGATTACCATTTTTGGAAACTGCGAAAGTTTACAAAATAAATGAAGATAAATATTACTGATAATAACTTCACCATCCTGCAATAAACCATGAGTTCACGCTAAAAGCAAGCTTACTGAATGAGACCTTTCTCAGTTTGTATCTCCTGTATTTGCAGGCTGGGCCTAGTAGATGCTGTCAATACTTTCGTATTCATGGACTTCGAGACTACTGGCAGACTTCAAGGAGATATGGACGCTTTAGGTCGTCATGTTAATAACAAACTACGCGATCCCCAAGACTTCAGTAATGCCCTTAGCGCGATGATTCTAGAGAGTTAGTTAAGGCAAGTTATTAACTCGTGGTTTTGCTCTACTAGCCTTTTTATAGCCCAACGATCCGAGTATCCACGAATTACTGAAATGTCGTTTATCAGTGTTCCACGTGAAATGTTCATAAGAGGGCAAACGAAAATGAAAGAGTTGTGCGACTCAGTGGGTCTTTTAGCTCCGTTCATTTCACCACGTCGTTACTTTTTTTTCATATGATAATCATGCAATTGATTTAGGGTAATAAAGGCCTTCGTGTTCGTCTGGCAGCGAACGTTCACACCCGTCAAGTGAACCCACAGTTGGACGAACATCAATGGAGTGCTTACGAAGCGGCGCGAATTGAAGGAAAATCCTGTACATTCTGTCATATCTCTTATTTTATCTTTAAAAGCTTCAAATTTCCCAATGATCAAATCTCTGTTACATGCAGGCAGAAAGAGTGCATGGTGCACATGCGAGAAAGTGAATTTTGATGAAAAGTGCAACTAACGCTTAACTCCTGCTGTTGCATTAAGAAATCTTTGCTGCGTTACAGTTTTTTTGGTGGAAGTCATGGGGATAGACTTTCAAATTAATGCTTTTATCACTCTTAGCTAGAAATTTCAGGCCTAAATCATGCACGAAAAGATCTTATACTGAAAAACACTTTTGACCAGGAATGGCCTGGCGTCAGAGCATTCCTGGATTCGTGTCCAAAACCAGCCTGTCTAGGTAAAGAACAAAGTAATTGTTT